AAAACTGTTCTACCTCCATACTTAAACCAAGAGAAAACAAGAAGTGGCTCAACGGAAAGATTAAGGTAAAGCAAGATGCTTCACAGCTCCTTCTCTGTTCCCTTCCAGTTTGGCCCGGGGTGTTCCTTTAGAGTCAGAAGCATTAATCATCCAGTCCTATATTCCTGAAAAGGTACGACATGGACTCCCCGTTGTGGATCCTGCGAATGGCTTCCGAGAGGATCATGCTGATATCCACAGTCTTGATTTTAGGGCACTGGAGTTTCTGTATCTCATGTGGAATTGTGTTTGTAACAACCACCTACGGGAAGAAAAAATGATCAGGAGGACGTAGCTCCGTTATGTTTTCCACCTTCCCTATTGGAAGTGTGAAAGGGAGTTTCACAGATCCTATCAAGCCACCACTGCTGATAAGATTTTACATTACTGTCAGGGTCAAAAATCCTAGGAAAAGCCCCACATTGCCACAGATACTAATGGCACTGTCCTTCTTTCATTCATTCTGCCAGGAAGAGTCAGAGGAAGGTACAAAATATCCCCAACACTGAGGGGAAAGTTCCACTGACACTGGCAGTCCAGCACCTCAGCACTTCCCACGTTTCCCTCTCCTGCTGTAGCTTAAGGACAGGTAGATGTTTCCTTAAAAAAAAAAAACCCAATCATTTGATCAGGATTCAGAATCCACACTTACCTCATCGATGGCAGACTCCTCGATCAGCCGGGGAGCGTCTGAAGACAAGAGGCCGTGGGTGGCCATGACAAAGATCTTGTAAGCCCCCCTCTCCTTGAGGGTCTCGGCTGCAGCCAGGAAGCTGTCAACATCATCGATGATGTCATCCTGCCAAAACACCACCGAGTCACCACCGAGTCACCACAGCCTCACACACAGCACTCAGACTGACAGGGCAGCTCTAGCAAGTACAGCAGAACCCAAACTATCAGAAGACTGCCCTTTTTTATGACAAGCCCAGAGATAACACCCTGCTTTCGAGAAACCATGACTGAATCACACAATTATGGAATGGTCTGGGTTGGAAGGGATCTTAAAGATCATCTCATTCCATCCCTTGGTGTGGGCAGGGACATCTTCCACTATCCCAGGTTGCTCCAAGCCCCATCCAACCTGGCCTTGGACACTTCCAGGGATGGGGCAGCCACAGCTTCTCTGGGCAACCTGTGCCAGGGCCTCACCACCCTCACAGGAAGAATTTCTCCCTAATATCCCATCTAACCCTACTCTCTGTCAGCTTAAAGCCATTTCCCCTTGTCCTGTCACTCCAGGCCCTTGGAAATAGTCCCTCTCCATCTTTCCTGTCGGCCCCTTCAGGCCCTGGAAGGCCACAGTTAGGTCACCCAGAGCCTTCTCCTCTCCAGGCTGAACAATCCCAATTCTCTCAGCCTTTCCTCACAGCAGAGGAGCTCTAACCCTCTAATCAACCTGGTGGCCTCCTCCAGACTTGCTCCAACAGGTCCATGTCCATCATCTCAGCTTCACTAAAACTCCTGGACAGAAACACAGTGATTTTCCCCTGCTTTAATGTGCACCTGAAACCCCTCTCCTTCAGGTAAGCACTGAACAGAGTTTCACCTGCCCTACTCATGGAAACAAGGTCCAAACTCTGCTTTTCAGCATGGATCACTTCACAGTGTGCTCAGTCCTGCCCCATGGAATCAAAAGTCCACCAGCAACCCAAGTTTAGTGGCTGGTACAGAATGTTTACTTGATTTCTTCAACTTTAACATGTTTAACATCATTGATGAGAAGTGAGGACATCTTACCACGATGATAGCTATTCTTCCTCCCACATCTCCCACAACTGTGATGGGTGGCTTTTCCTTGGGAATCAGCACTGATTAAGGGCAAATTGGTTTAGAGAGAGAGAAAGGAGAAAGAAAAGAGAAAGTTTATAAGATTTACTTTAATAATGTCTGCTGGGTCACCACAGTTAAGAGAGAGACATGGACCAACAACTATTTCAACAGCATTACTGGGAAAACCAGTAGGACTTTAATATATAAATGATCTTTTTAAGCTTAGTTAAAATATTAACTACATTCATTTACACTCAAACTGTGAACCAGTTCAACGAATTCTTAATTTTAGCACAGAAACAAAGTGGCTGGCAGACACCACCAGTTCCTTTTTGCTGGCCCATCACTGCCAGCCCCATTCCCCAAGAAAAGGCCAGGTAACACTTTCCCACACACACTTACTTACTGGGGATCTCCAAACTGGGGTGAATAGCAGCGACATATTTGGCTGTGGGTGGGGAGTGCCGACCATCCACCATGTCAGACTCGGCATCCTGAGCTTCCCCGTGGATCACAGCGATTCCCAACCGCAGGCGCTCAGCGAACGACTGTGCCCTGCAGGGAAAGGGTTAAAAAACACCAGGAACGCGTTAAATTTAAAATAATTCACCTACATACAACCCTAACCTATTCCCATTTTACTTCTACCGTTTCAGAGGAAAATGAAATGATCCTAAAATTTTAGGAGGACACATGGAAGGAACCACTTGCCCCTTAATATCTTGATTCCACCAGGTTTGTGAGTCAGAATAACCCTGAAAGTGCCCATATGGGCCTTGAAGCAACAGGATAAATGTTGCAAGTCACATAATTGTGATTACTCCCTTCTGCTTTGCCCAACAGCCAAAAACCATTCCCTAGCCTTCGGCATCCTTGGGATTCCAATGCTTTAGGAATCTCATCTAACAGTAACCAAGAATAGTCTTGATGTCTAGATTGTCTACATTTCATAGGAAAAAATATATATTCATATGAAAAAAAAAGTGTTCACCTATTTATTTTTAGCACTAAATAAGGACAATATCCCTGACCTGCTGACACAATCTGAGATACCCTGTGGAAAAGGGGGTCCAGATGATCATTCTGCCTGGCAAACCACACTTCAAGCTGAACAGCCTGGATTTTATTATTAGCTGACATAAAGTTCCTTCACAGCGCGGTATTTCTTTGACTAAAATTAGAAATTTCTGGAAAGAAGTGTGAGGTCAGCTGGGGGAGTGGGCAAAGCAGAGAGCCAGGAAAATGGGAATTTCACAGACAGTGCTTGTATCCCAGATCCTGGAAGCAGCAAGTGTAAATTAGCACATCTATCCCACCTTACCTTGCACACCCAAAGTTTGGGACCCTGCCCAAGCCACCCCATCTCACCTCCTCTGGTCCAAGTGAATCCAGCACATCTAAAGTGAGTCACTCTGCTCTAACATCAGCACCTCAGACCCGTGCCTGAATCATCTCCTCTATCCTTAAGCCTTGTTTCACTATCCAAACAATCCAGAGTCCAGAGAATAATTTGCCCATCATGATACTCAGTTAATTAAAAATGAAGAATCTTCCACCCTGTGGTTATCATACAGTTACAATATTCTTGCGAGTAGTTAATTACAGGTAATTATTATTCCAAACATTAAGAGTTAGGACTTAGCAGGCATAATCCTATCAATAAAACCATAATAATTACGTTAAAATGCAATATTAAACTGAACAAAGTTCAAAGTAAGAGCAAAATGATTTATTAATTTTCCAGTGAGCTCAGAAACCGCAGAAACATTCTGAACTGCACCAAGCACGGGTTCTTCTCCACAAGTAGGCATTCATCACAAGTATTTTCCTGGATTGTTTTCAGCCTGGATTAGGCTGAAACATCCAATCACCCTTTCCCCAATACAATGTGCCTCTTCAAATACTGCCCTTAAATGCTCGTAGGTCCACATGAAGAAGTTTAACAATAGAGCTCTGGGAACCTCTCCTCCCCAAATCCCTGTGTGTGCAACCCATCTGTCTGGTCAGTTTGAAGAGACTATTTGCTGGCATTGACAATTACTGGATCAGTGTTAAAATGCTTCAACAAAAGCCTGTCTACACCCAAGTGGCAACACTGACACCGTGGAAAAGAAATGGGAGAGAACCAAATGGAAAATGACTGGCCAAAACAAAAGAAATCACAAAAAGTACTGCTGGAGAACAAAGATGACACAAGTTGAATCGTTACATAAAATAACAAAAACACAAAGTATCACAAATTCCTTGGCATGAAAGTCTAAATAACTCTTCAACAAACTCTTGGTTTGCCACCACAGCAAATACAGCATCTCTTAAACCATTGTCCAGCTCTTACAGCACCTGCTGACAGCAGTTTAATTCCAAAGCATCTGGGAACAGTCAACTAAAAAGCTTCATGGATTAAGAACAGTCATTTAACCACAAGGACTTCACAATCAAAATCTTCTCAAATATCAAATCCTGTTTCACCATCTGTATTTAGGATCTGATCAACCATGTTCTTATAGTTAAGCCCACATTAAGCAATTCCTTTGGATGAATGGCATTACATTTCCAGCCATTTTTCTTCATTTACAGCAGGAAATTTAAAATGTAAATGCACACGAATAGAACATGATTAAAAACCTTCTTTATCATAAGCACTGCACTGATTTACCTCATCCTTTTGTTTGTTTTTTTCAAGTCTCCTTAGATTTATTGTGATTACAGAGAAGATGTAAAAACCACACAGCTGACAAGGCAGAACTGGGAGGGGTTTGAAGGCTGCATCTTCTAATTATTGGATATCTGTCCTTCACTTGATCCTAAGAACAAAATCCCGACAGAGATTTCCTGCTCCAAGGCAAGAGAGCAGATCTTACCCACCTCTTTGCAGACGCAGGAGATTTGGCCACAATTACAGCATTCCTGTAGTCTGGTATCTGTAGTAAATAACAGATAGCAATGTCCACTTCATATCTTTAGACAAATTTAAACTCAGTAAGAATCAGAGAACTTTATTTTGCCAGAAGAACTTTAAGCATCGAACATTTTCACCTAAGAAAGTAACCTCAGGAATCCATGGTAAATGATCAGAGTTGACAGCTCAGTAAAAACAGGTATTTAGAAAATTCAGATATTGGAACTGTACCTTTCATATATCCCATGTTATAGGAGAGATTACAGAAAAGTAACTGCTTTAGAACATCAGGGCTAGGCAGACAAGTGTTGAAAGAAACAGGAAACCATCAAAATTAAAGTTTCCTGTTCAACTTTAATTGTCTTTCATCACTTGAAAACAGCATTTCACCCATTTCCTATTGCTTTAGAGAGCACACCGAGAAAAGTCACACCTCTCCATCACGTAACACCGACTATTTCTATGAACAATCAGAAGGGATATAAGTTCCATGTTCACTGCACTCTCCTGGAGTCACAGTCTCACAGTGCTGCAAACTGTCCTCCACACTGACCAGCACAAGGAGATGCTGCTGCAAACGTCAACAGCACCAGAGGGGTAAGGCCAGGAAGTCTGGATTTCCTTTTGAGGTTTGACAGAGACTTCAGTCACGTTTCACAAACACGATCTACTCCTCAGTTTGCTGCCCCTGACCCATTTTCACACTGGTTTTTCACTCCAGACTCCTGCTCTCTGTTTAACCACCATTTTAGTCCCCATCTCTCAAAAGTTTCTTATCCTCATCTCCATTTTCCCTGCAAACAGTGACTCCACATCAGACTCATCTTGCCTTGTCCATAACTTCTCAAGCATTCCACTGTTCACACTTCCAGCCCTCCTTTCCACAGCAACCTACGCTCCCTCTCATATCTCATCTTACCCCATTCCTTGCAAACTCAGTAGTTTCCTTCACTGTGTTTCCCTGGGATGATCCATCTCTATGGAGAGCAGCTGAAAGAGAACCTGGCTGGCCCTCTCTCCATTGCCACAGTTCTCAGCCAAGCCAAGTCCTACAGAGCAGGTCCATCCTCAGACTCCCAGAGTTAAGGGACCTGCAAATTGATCTGTTACAGATGTGATTGCACAAATTTGGGGGGCTGACACCCTGTCATGCTGCTCACCACCTTGCTGTCAAGATGTCAAATACTCATCCCAGGGCACAGAAACAAGCAGGTTTTCTGCAAACACAGGCAAGGTAAGTCCTTCCACAATCTTTTCCTCAAACACACAAACTGCGCTGGCTGAGTATTTCCAAAAGCTCTCCCTGAAACAAGCATGGGAAAGAAAAAAATTTGGGCAAGGACCTAATCAACTGAAAACAAGAACTTTTCCGAGGACGTTGTCGGGCAACGTTAATAACCCACAATGTTACTAACTCCACCTACAACACTGGGAATTCAGCATGTTCTGTCCTTTACAAACACTCAGTTATACAAGAGGCTACAAAGATTAACATGACGGAAGGTATGGACAAGGCAGGGCCTGTCACTTGACATAACAGAGGCTTTGATCTTGTTCAGACACCATTGCCTCATTTTTCCCCTGCCAAATTACCAAATTTGTTCTCAGCTCTTCAAAAATGAAGTCGGAAAGCCAGAAGTGTCATCCACAAAGCAGTAAGGTATCAACAGCTCCTCAAAACAAAGAGCTACATCACTCTGGGATTAACTTGTACACACAGGAAAGAGAAGACACCAAGTAGCCAACATTTTCTAAGCAATACAGAGGAAACCCAACAAAACTATTTTCATATCACGTGAGTTTCACTGATTGGACTGTCTTCATCCCACAACACCGAGTAATTCTCTTCACACCTATGCACAAATTCCCAACAGGGAACAACTACAAGCCCTCGTCCTCTCACCTTTCAGTTAAATGTTTTTTAAATGGCCTCCACTCTTACCAAGCTGGACTCCATTTCATGCTATTCAGTGCACCCCATCATGACTCCAACTGCTTTGAAAGCTCTGGCATTCCCAATGAAGGATATCCAGCAAGTTGTGGCCACCAGGAACTTGGAATGAATACTAAATTCCTCCTGAGCAGCACTGGATCACAGTTTTAAGATACTATAAACGACTTGGCTGGTCAAGGTACTTGCCAATGTAGATCCCAAGTGATCAGATCCAGTCAGTCAACTCCAGTTTTAACAAGTCCCCTCATGGACGAGCAGAGGAATGAAGAAATAAAGAACTGAAAGTATCTTCTAAGACTTCTCTACACGTACTTCAGATCCCTCTGTAAATGTTCATTTGTTAGACTGCACAGCAGTGCCAGACTCAAAGCTGCAACAATTCTTTGTAAGCCATTAAAAGCTCATGATTCAAAAAGTGCTTCAAGACTTGAAGCAGCACCATGATCTTGTTGCCAACTATAAATCACACACTGTAGCAACATATAAAGGCACAACCTCTCTTGTGTCTGCATGCTTGGTTTTCCACTTTTTTTCCCTTTTTTTTAACTTAGGAAGTCCTTACAATGTGCAATACTTCTCTCCTGGAACACAAGATGAATGACTGTGGCAAAGCCAAAGCCTGGGGTTTTGTTCTGCCACCCTCTTTGATTCTATTACCAAATGAAATGATAAAGAGAGCTTCAAATGGTAACTGATTCCCCAAACAGATTTTAACACTGTCATAACAAAATCATGTGGGTTTGGGTTTTCTTAGGGGGGTGGGGTGGGGCGTGTTTCATTTTGGTTTTTAAATTGGGGCATTCATAACCCTATAAAAAGAAATAGCTTGGAACCAAAAGTAAGAGTGAACCCAACCTTTTCTCTCACCAGGAAGAAAGCATTTGCTTTATTCCAAATTATCATTAGTCAGAGGCTTAACATGTATCTTATACCTACAATTATCATTTGCATGGATGAATCTACCAGTAGCCCTTCTCAAAGCACTTGTAAAAATAAGATGGAGAAATGGAAGCTCAGAACGCCCCAAGTTAAGCTGCTCAAGTCAAGACATGCTGAACAAACAGTGGGTGAGATTTCCACACAAGAAATCAGCTGGGCTTGCTTTCAGAGCATGATCAATAGGCTCTCTCATAGTTTACAATTCCCAAAGTGGCTTTTATCATGAGACATTAATTACACCCACACAAGCACTCCATCCTATAAACGTCAAGGAAACTGGAAACAGGAAAGGAAAAGGACATCAAGAGCACAGAAATCCTAACTTTTTTTTTTCCAATATTAGGGGAATATATCTAAGAAGATAGAGCAGCGTTGCTGCACAGGTAAGAAAACACCAGCTCTCCATGGAAGTAAAAGTTAAGCACGTGGGGAGGAAAATAATCAACTGCCCCAACACCATTCCCTGCCACAAACTGGTCCTTTCCCCTTAAAATTCTGTTTGAAGAGTTAATCTTTTCAGAGGAATTTGTTTCAGATGCCTTGAGACATGACAAAAAAGGTAATGTAAAAAAAAGTAACTGTAACAGCAGGCCTTCCTCACCTCTTCTTGGATGTACTGTAGTAAAAACGGGGATGCTCTCAAGTTATCAACTGGAATGTTGAAGAAGCCCTGAATTTCCTTCTGATGTAGATCCATGGTAATAAGATGAGTTAGTCCTTAAAAAAAAAAAAAAGGAGCAAGACATAGAGAAGCACATCAAGAAAATGAAGAGAGAACAAGACAAGACAGTCTTTATTTTTCTAAGTTTCACTGAAGCTTGTCCAGAAAATCTCCAAGCTGCACGAGAACAACATTACACTCAGTGAAAGTACATAACAAATTAACTACGTCCCTCTTAAGCACACGGGCATTAACATGTTTTGAGACTTCTACAGTGTCTTTTTAAAAGAACCTCAGAACACTCCACATAACTGACTCAGTAGTGCCACACTGAGGCAGGTAAGATCCTTCTCCACGGGACAAAATGGGAGCACTAATTTGCCCTGTGTCACAGACCCCGCAACACTCATCGTAGTCCTGAACTCCTGAAAAAGGGGCCCAACTCCTAAACAACAAACCCCACTTCTCCCAAAATAACAGACCAGCTCACACTGTGCTTGGTATGAATGCCTGTTTTTTTCCCAGCAGTGGGAATGAAAGGAAAGGAGCAGAAAATGTGCTGAAGGCTGTGGAAATGAATAGTCTCATTCTCCCACATCATCTCAAATGTAAAGGACAAAGTGCATTCATCCAACAGGTAAAAAACAGGCCAGAAATGACAATGCACAACTGTTCAAGAGTGTTAAAAACATAAAAGAATGGTATTAAGAGATGGGTACCATGGCAGCTGAGCCCAGCAGACTCATTTTGCCAACTCAGTAGGACTCAGTGTAAAATGGCTGCTTCAAGTTTGGGTTTTTTACAAACTCATCGTTCAGAAACGTTTCTAATTAGAAACAATCTCTAATGAGAGAATTTCTAATTCTCCTTTTTATGTGGGTTTTAAACACAGGAAAAACTCAGCAGTTATTTTTAAAGAGTCCCAAGTTGTGCACAGACCTCTCTAAACCTGGAAGCTGACAGCAGGAGCCCCCTTGCCCTGATAATTTCAGAACAGCCCACACTCTTACCAGCTTTGCACATCATTGAGGCCAGTAACTTAGAGACAATGGAGCCCCTTTTCCTCATCTTGCACTGTTTGCTGTATGGGAAGTAAGGGATGACTCCAATGATGCTTTTGGCACAGGAGGTTTTACAGGCATACACCATGATCAGGAGCTCCATGATCGTAGTGTTCACATCCCTGCAACGACAAACACCCAGTTCTGTATCCCGGGCACAAAAATCCTGTATTCAGCACAGCATTTATACCCACCCCAGGAATTTCATGCCAGGGTAGCTCAAAGTATGGAGACTGAGCAAACTTCACTAAGCTTCCAGCTCTGGACTTCAGGATGGCAAGTGCCCTGGGCCCAGCATTTGAATTCTTCACCAGGATTACACTTCTTTACTGTTTTCACTCTGCCATTTTGGACAATTCAGCCGTCTTTGTTGGACGGTGTTGCTATAAAAAAGTAGCCCATAATTTATCCCCAATATCACTTCCTGTTGTCCACAAAAATATATGTATTTTCCCATATAGATATGCTTTTTAAAAAAAATACTTTGTATATACAACAAATTCTTCTCTTGTTAAGCCAAGAGCAAGCTAAATACTTAACAGTTAGCATCTGTTCTCTAAGAGAAGTGATCATCAACTAAGGCCTATTATTTCTGTTGCCATTAAAAAAACAGCCTTAGCATTTGTAAAGTTCACTTAAAATAAAAGATGCTGTTTTCTGAATCGTGGGACACATTGCCCAGGAAATTTTCCTCCTACATTTCCAGCTTTGTGATGGAGCTAGAGATGGGCAGCTGAAAAGGGAAAAATTTAAAGAGAATGACATAAGGAAAAGAATACACTTAGGGAAAGAATGCAGGGACCCAGGGGAATATTTCACTGATACATTCACTGAAAATTAAAATAAGAGAAGTTTGCTTATGCCAAAGTCGGCTTTGTGCACATATTAAAAGAAAAACCCAAGACAAATAACAACAAAGAAAAGACTCTCTCTAGTTAATCTGAGCTTATTGCACTGTATCACATACAGAAGAGATGACTAAAATTAAAACCAGAAGCATTCCTATGGACAGCCCATGTCAAATGCTAGCACAGGGTCTTTGAACAGTTACTCACTTTGAAACTGTTTGGATGATAAATACATCCTTTCCTCTCACAGACTCCTGAATCTGCACTCTTGTTTCTGCCAAGGAGAAAAATATGTAATATTTGCAATAGCAAAACTCAACAGAGTCTAAGAAAAGGGAAGCCAACACATGCACATCAGTGTTGGGTACAATTCCAGTTTTGCTAATTAAATGCTCACCTCTGTTTGGCTCCTGATAAACCTGAACCTTCCCCATCTCAACTCCCAGGCGCCTGCAGGAGCAGAAAACAAGGAGAAGTCAATATGGGGAAAGGAAGGACAAAACAAATGCAAATCCCACAATGCAACAGTTACTGAAAATGCTGTATTCCAGGGCAGAAAACCAAGGAAAGAAAGTCCCAAACCATAAAACCAATAATTACAGTGGACATCTCTTTAAAAAGCACCTACAGTTTCTGCACTGCAGACTAAGCTAAACTCATTTTCAAGTCAAGCTCAGAAGAACAAGCAGCAGAAAAAAAAATGCTTGAATACTAAATCATGCAACAATTTCTAATTTTTAACATGTATTTCCTGCCCTATATATATGTATATACACGTGGCAAAATACAACTTTTAAGTTGTTCTCCTCTATAGAAAACAGTCAATGTAGAGTGAAGAGGAAATACAGCAAGCATTATTCTATGGATAATGGAAGACTAATGCCTGCTGTATTTATTCCATGCCAGGATTAGCACAGATCCCCATCACTACAAAAAGGAGACAGTTACAGATTATGACACACACTCATGCCCAAATTCTTGCCACACGTAACCTGAGTTCCTTTGCAGCCCCTTTCTCCTCCTGTCCACACCTAACTTTGGGCACATAAGTCTCGGGAAGAAATCCATCATGTGGAATATTCCCAGTAATGTTATGCATCCTAATTAGCAAGGTGAAAATTTACTTAAGCCATAAAAGTTCTGCTGAAGCTATTCATGGATTGAAGCTAAAGGAATGTTCCCATCCAAAATATACAGCGAGCAGGAGAGATGTAGTTTTGCTGCCTAAGAAAACCCCACTACAAGGAGTAGGAAAATGATAAAAAACTTGTGCCACGATTATTTAACACTCTCCAAACATTAATTTTGCCCACGTGTTTCCTATAATGTGCTGCAGCCAATCCCAGCCTGCCACGGAACAATTCCAACACAAATTATTCTCCTTCTACTCCATCTGCTGAAATAGGCTGTGCAATAGAGCACACACCACGTTCTTGCAAACCATGGCAGTTTTCCCATGTAATTTTCCTTAAAGAGAGAAATCAGAATTAATAAAATAAGACTGTACTTACTCAGCAATCCTCTTGGACAGTTCCATGCACGACGAATTGGAATTAGCTGAAAACAGCACCAGCCCACCCTTGGTGATATTCATGATGGCCCCAATTTCAGTTGATGACACACAAAACATCAACCCTAAGTTGTTTTTCCACTTCTAAAAGACTGCAAGAGATCAAAAGTCAGTTAGAGCCACAATGTTAAAAACAAGAAACAAATTTTCCCTGTTTCAAAAGTGAAGAATTTCCTATAAGCCTGTATTTTCCAGCATCCTTAGTACTTGTTTTCCCCACTTCAACAGTTTCCCTAGAGCTCTCCAAAGATCCCCCTGAAAATCTCCTAACTTAACAGGTTTTTTCCTATTTTGAACTGTTTTCCTCAGGCTATCATCTAGTAACAGAGATCCTCTTTTCCATCAGCTTGTCCAGTTCATTTAACAGAACTGAGCGACATTTATTGACTTTTCCAAGATCACAAAGCCAGTCAGGGGCAGAATGGAGCTGAACAGAGCTCCTGGGTCCTGGCTAGAAGGGTCTGTTTCCATACTGTGTCTCTTTTCATCACTTTGCAATAAATGATAAACTTACAAATAGGGATGAAACGTAAGGAAGAGTTCAATAAAGCTGGCAGCTGTAAATAATGACCTCTTGCACAATGAATCCACTTGCTGAAGCAGCTGCTGTCATTCTTTGAGATTAATAATTCTCCTGTGAAAACAGGAGAAAAATATCATGAGGAATTCGATACAATTTTTTTTTTGTTTCGAATAAAGGCACAAACCACTAATCCCACCAAGGATTTGATGGGCTTCCATCTTTTTATTACTCTTCATAAACTACATTTTCCTGACTTCTTCTGCTGTAATATTTTAGTCAAATAAAAGAAAAAAAAAATCACACTGTCCAGCAGCCCCTGACAGACCAAAGTAGAATTCAACTCAAAAAGTCCTAGGCCACTGCACTTCACTCACTTCTGTCTAAGAAATATAATGCTTCATCATCCATTTCAGAATTATGTAGAGGACTGGAAATATTAAATATGAATGGCTTAAATTATGAAAGAAGTAACTTCTTTCCTGATAAACATCTCTCTGCTGAGAAACATAATTATCGAATAGTCACAGGTAATTAATTAGAAAAAGCTGATGGTTTATCAATTGTTAAGTACTCCAAAACAGCAACAAAAAGAAAAAAACAACCATTTTTGTATTAGAGGGATAGCTGGCTGGCTCTATAAAGAAACTCTTCACCTCATCTTTGCAACTAGACATTCTCTTGGTCAGGTTGATTTTGTCACAGAGGAACCCGATTCACTCTCATGAAGAGCCAAAGTCAAGCCAGGAATTTCCTAACAACAAATCTCTTGATGCCCAGTCTGAGCTCTGCTTAACTGCTGTGAATGAAAACCTGCCTGTCATCAGAACCTCCAAAATGTGCAGAGAGTGAGCACAAACAGCAACAATTTCAGCCTCAGAACCCCTGGATGTTTCACTCTACTAGAACCAGGTGAACCCCCCACACCTCAAAAGCCAGACCTGTATCCCTGCGTAACGAAGTGCCCAACAATTTAAGGATAAACCTAATCCTAGGCTAGTGTTTCTCTGTTCTGCTGCTCAGCTACTCTCTGCAACTCCCAGCTGTTAACTAATGGCCATCACCCATCAAATATTCATAACAGTGCTCAAGATCCATCTCAGCTCCAAAGAAGGCACGGACTAGAAATGCTTTTAGGTCTCAGAACACCACCTGAAGCTTGTGTGGCTGGATGGGAACAACGTGGATACATCTTTCCCTATTACTAAAAGCATTCATACAGAAGGCACTCTTTCCCCCCCCTCCAGTTGTGTGTCTTCCTTCCATGGATTAGGGAAATGAGAAGCATTAAGAGATGTGCTGAAAGACAAAATTGTTGTTCCCCATTATTGCTCAAGGTGCATTTTATACCACCATAAGATATTGATGTATTCAGCAACACTACACACTGCTCTTCACATCATAGGTCAAGGACTTCTTTGTGGTCACACTTCGGCAGCTACAGGTGGGCCACGGCGTGTGTGGGGAGGGAAGGTGCATTTAAAGAGTAATCAACCTTGAAACGGGTGTTGGGATGACAGCAAGCTGGCAGAACTTTATTAGATGTGCAAAGACGTGACTCCACATGGGTACCTGGGACCAAAACCCTCTGGTTTGAGGTGGGCAAGGTCTGGGACAACAGGCACCACAGAGGCTGAAGCACCAACTCCTGCCCTGCCTTTTGGGCTGCACACAGTTACACAGACACGCCACGATGAACACAACAATTACTGGGTACACATGGCTTTACATCTCCATGAACTGAGCATGTCCGCACAGAAAGCAACAGAGGCAGGAATAACTGTATGGGATAACCATGGTACTAAGCAATGGAATCCTCGTGGGACGGAGGGAATCTGCACCCTCTCACCCATCTTCCCCACAGGGAATTTTCCCGGCCCTCCACTCATCTATCCCCCTGGGCTAAGGGACCCTTCCAGCCCACGCCTCCCTACAATCCTTCAGCTGCTCCAGGTGGGTTACACAGGCCCTGTGGTCCCTGCGGATCCCATCCCTCCTATCCTGGAGCGGCCAGTGCACATCGCAGCCCCACGCCGCTCCTCCTCACCTGTGGGGCTGCCGAGGAGCCCGAGAAGCCCTGCAAAGGGCCCGCCCAGGAGAGAGTCCCCATCTCCTGAGGGGAGGGCGACGTAGCCCCTTCCTCAGGCGGCAGAACCCCGTGTGTGGGGAAGGGGGGATGTCCTGCCCACACAGCCAGCTGAAGCGGGCTGAGCGGGCGGGAGCGCCCCTCGCTGAAGGCCTTACCTGCCGGCTCCGGCCCCCCGGCCCCGGGAGAAGGCGGCCCGGCCGGAGGGGAAGGAGGGGGTGAGGCAGAGGGAGAGGCAGAGGCGGCGGCGGAGCTCAGCCCGGGCTCCAGGGTTCTCCGCGGGCAAGATGGCGGCGGGGCGTGAGGGAGGGCAGCCGCGGGCGGAGGGGCGGGCCCGGGCGACCCCCCCCCCCCGTTCCCGCACGGCTCGGCGCGCCGCTGAGGGGCACCGGCGCCATCTTCCCCTCAGCCCCGCAGTGGGGGAGACACCGGGACAGGGGTCATAGAATCACAGAACCATCCGGGTTGGGAGAGACCGCCAGCCCAGCACTGCCACTGTAGCCCCTAAAGCATCTCACCCATCGCCAGATCCAGACGCCTCTGGAAAACACCCTCCAGATACGGTGACTCCGCCACCTCTCCCTGGACAGCCCGTTCCAATGCCTGACCACCTGAACAGTGAAAAAAAATTTCTGGTATCTGATCTGAACTTCCCCTGTCGCAGCTTAAGGCCGTTTCCTCTAGTCCTCACTGCACGCACGGTAGAAGAGACCAGTCTCCACCTCACTGCAACCTCCTTTCAGGTTGTTGTGGAGAGCGATGATGTCTCCCATGAGCCTCCTCCAGGCTCAAACAAACCACCTCTTCCAGGTAAACAAACTCAGCTCCCTCAGAAAACACATTTTCTAGACCCCTTCACCACCCTTGTTGCCCTTCTCTGCCAAAGAGAAGGGCACTTCTGGGTCCCCGTCTGGCATGATGTGGGAACCAGAACACCAACGCCGCAGTTCAGCTCCCACCCACCAAAAAAGACCCTTGCCAGGGTCGGGAGAGCCCCGGTGCAAAGTGCATGTGGAATAAAAGCAGTGGATGTCCGCGGGGTGCCGCGTTTCGGAGCTCCCACGCCTGCAGCCCTGTCAGAGGGACGGACGGACGGGCGGCTGCCACGCTGCTCCGGGCACCTCCATCGCTGTGGCTGATCCTCTCCATCTCCGCTGGTCCCTGTGGCACCATCTGGCCTTTGCCAGCAGACCCAGCAGTGTTTGTAGGGAAAGGGGCACCTCTGGAAAGTAAATTAGGAAAAGAAACAATCAGTGATGTCTCAGTTCCCTGTCACCAGCACACATGATTAATCCACAGTCCCCTGTCAGGACTCCCCTTGCCGTGTACATTGATTGAACTGCATGAAGATTCTTTTGACATCTGCAGTGAGACTCTTATTTTAAACACCCTGTTTACAAAAAAAAAAAAAAAAAGAAAACACCAACAAACCACCAGCTTTATCCCAGGACACCCATGACAAAACTGTTCTTTCACTGCTTTGAGGAAGTTACAGTCATCCCACACAGACATAGGAGAATAAAGGTCCCTGCTTTAAATAAAAACCCAAACATCGTGGTTTTTCCTCTAACCTGTTTTAAATTATGCTTCTCAGTATGCCCAAGATGAACAGTGTTTTATGGATCAGAATTTTAGCATTTAGTATAAAGGTTCAAATTAGGTAGTACTTTTGCTGCAGCTTTTCTCACAAAAAATTAAACTTGATTATTCTTGGCCTGTAGGGTGCACTGGAGCAAAGCCTAGCATCCCAGCAGGTATTTCTGTCCACGCTGGCCTTGATGTGAAAGAGGAGGAAAAGCCATTGAACGCCTCACTTAAACATGCCCGTGAAAGGGCAATGTTAAATTCACAGTTTGAAACCATTATGAGCTGCATTTTCCACCTTAAATACTCATGGACGAGTGTTTTCCAAGGCTTCATCAATTGTCTCTTCTTTTTGCTTTTTTCAGCAGACTGGGAGCTGGGGAAGGAGAAGCCATTTAACCAGGAGCAGCTGCCAGATGTCGAGCACTCCACTTGCAGGCTCACACAAAGCCAAGACATCTGTTTGAAATATGTGAGCAGAGAGGCCATCAGCCTCTTTATACCCTCAGAGATGCAGCACTGATCCTCTGACTTTCCTACAGCCTCTTCCAAATTACAGTGGGGGGTAAGAGAATAGACCTCTCTCAGCACCTCGCCACCCCCACTGTTCCCAGTCTGTGTTTTCCTGTTTCCAGGCTGGTGCTTCCACAATTGATTTGGGGTCATTGACCCCAGTAGGTTCTTGTTTTGTTTCAGGGCTTTTAGGACAAAAGGGAAGGGGTTTTGAGCTTTTTGTTGGCCTCTTCACAGAGCAGAAGAGATTTCTCTTGGCATCAGTCTCTGTCGCAGGATTTCACTGCAGCCTGGTGGGGCAGAGCAGTTTGATGCAGAACAACTAGAAACGACACTTGGTGAAGCACTGACCCGTAATGCAATTAGCAGCCTTCCCCAGAAGCATTTTTCAATACCCCAGGGCACCCAGAACTTGCTGACTGTTTGATTTGTGCTGCCCCGAATTCCTGACATTGCTCAAGCAAGCCACAGGATCAGGAACTAAGAGATCCTGTCTTCCGATCCTTTTTATAACGGCACTGCCTTTGTTTTCTTAGGGGGAAAAAAAAAAAAATCAATTTCTCAATTTCTCACCTCTGTTTTCCTGATCAGAGGAATGTGAGTTTAAATCTCAGCTCCCAAGGGAGAGGGATTTGTTAATCTGACAATATACTATCCAAACACTAAGAGTTTAACGAACAGTTGCTCCAAGATGAGCACACGGATTTTATTTCATTTACAATGATTCAATTAGCAGTCATCTAAGGAATGCTGAAAATTTGCCGGGTGTGAATACACTGGCTCACAAAGATTTGTTGTCCTTAATCCAGATGTGACCCTGGCAAGCAGAGATGTGCAAAAAAAACCCCTCCATACACACCTAGTCCAGCCAAGGTGAGGGGCACTGCTCATCCAGCACTTGGCTGGACAACAGCCTGCATCCATCACCTGAGAGAAGATAAATGCTGCTGTCATCCAGGCTCCTGTGCTCCATCCATCACTGCTCAGACAGGTTGGCTTTTTTTTATTTGTTTGTTTGGGGTTGTTTTTGTTTAAAAAAAGATGGATATTAAATGTCACCTACCAAACCACCTGACAGTGAGAACAATCAGACATGGCACGCCAAAGAAACACTCTGATTTGATCCTGACAGAGTCCTGTGAATAGGTTTGGTCTCCCCCAACAGAAAGAGGATCCTACAAGGCATCCCAAAAGCATCCTCTACCCTACACAGTCCCTCTGAGCCCACAGGGAGGTTCTGCAGCACAGATATCTCCACATTGAGCACAGCCCAAAGGCCACCACCTCCCTGCTCCCCTGCCCTTGGCTTTTCTGCCTGGGGAGCAACTGAGTTCAATCTCCAGAAGATTCTGCCTTGGATATTACCCAGGGAGGCAGAACTCAAAGTGCTATAAAATGCATTTCAGAACGGAGGGAAGGAGGAGTAATTTTATCATGTCTTCAGAGTGATTTGGAAATAGCATCCTCCACGTCTGGGAAGCAAAGTGCCTTAAAAAAAGGCCCTGGAGCAGAGAACACGTCTTCTCTGTGTGAAGGGCTGTGGCTGTAGATAGCACTCATTGCTTTATCAAATATTACTGCTTGGCTGTCTGCAGAAAACAGGCACCCACTCATTTGTCACAGTCCTGAGGCACAGAACTTTGACTGAAGGACTCCCTGAGCTCAGTGTGTTTTCCTGTTTCAAACTGTGCTCCCAGTTCCGGGTCAGTCTGTAATGTTTAACAGATCTGCCACACCAGCTCTGGCGTGGACACAGGGTTCTCTCCAGCCAGCCTCCCAACAAAGAGATGAGACATTTGTGGGAATACTCATGGTGGAACAGGTCCTGCAGACACACAGCTCGAGCTGGGTGCAAGGGTTTGGACAAACACTGCCCTGAAACAAGAGCCGGTGGTAGCCACTCTTGCTTGTTTCCCAGACTGTCTTTGCTTTGCTGTGTGTGGGCAGCTCTGTCCTGCAAAGTCTGCATCACATCCTGCTCACATCCATCACCTGATGTTTGTGGCTGTGGTTTGCCCTTTGATTCGCATTTAGACAAAAGTGGTTGAACTGGGCAGTGAAGTCACGTCATTTTAGGGAATTTGAACAGCTGCTCAGTTCGTGCCAAACACTAGTTAGTGCTCTGTTCCTCCCTGTCCTCCCCACTGGGTCCCAGCATGGTTTGCCATTTACCTCACTAAGCTACAGCTCCTCTACAGAGAGCACCCAGGCACCATGCCCTGTGCAGGCATTTCGTGAGCACACAGGAAGGACTCAAGTTGGTCACTGCAGAGCAACTTTGCAAATTAAAGCAGAATTCAGTGCAGGAGAGCAGGTCCTGTGCCTTGGGTGCACAACTTGGGGGCGTAAAGAAAGATTTGGTACCAGCCCTGCCCTGTACACTGAGCAGGAGCTGGGAGAGGTGCAGGGAAGGAGCAAAGTGCAACCAGCAAAGAGCACCCTGTGTCTGCCCCAGTTCAGTGCCAACCAGGACCAGCCCTGGATCAGGAAGAGCAGGTTAACCCCCTTGCTGGGAGCAGGACCCTCACCCGTTGGCTATGCCAAGAAAGGCTGTGGAGACCTGGGTAAGGCCCAGCCTATACCACTTATTCACACTATTACCAACATCTCTCCTGCACAGAGAAGCTTTTGACCAATACAGGTCCTCTAATTTGCCATCTTATTTCCTGCCTGATTTCAGCAAGCTGTGGAAGAGGTTCTGCTCTCAGACCACTGTGCACTGTCTTTCCTTAACCTTATCTAACAAATCAATTCCCCAAGCTCAAGAGTGAGACACTTAAAGATTTTACTCACCAGGAAAGTCTCACCAGAGGAGAGGCAGGGGGACCGTTAGGCTTCCCAGAGGCTTTTATTGTCTCATTAAGCTCTCCTTAATGAGAACTTCCTCACCTGCTGCAGTCTCCCTCCCATTCATTTGTATTCACTATCCTGCTGCTGGTACTTTCAAGGCTTAGTTCCCACTCCTTCCTCTCTCTTTCCTCTGAACTATTCTGAGCCCAGTTTCTATCTCCATGCTCCCATCCAGGTCCCAGGGAGAAAACACTTTCTCCTCTTGAGTTACCGCTTGCCATGTCCTCCTCGGCTGGTTTCCTCCCTGATACCTCTGCAGCTTCTCCCAGCTCCAGAGTCACCTGCCGTAGTCTCTCCTCCAAAGCAAGGCAGCAACCCCTCCTGGGTGAAATCCCTGGCTTAGATGCTTGCTAAAAACTTGCTTGTTCTCCCAGCTAAGGCTCTCCATGCACAGCTTGAACCCCCCCACCTCAGTGGCTCTGCCCGAACCCGCGCGCTCCAGTGGCTCCGCACGTCCCAGCCCACTGTTTGTAGGAGCGGGGCTGTCGGATCAGCCCCTCCATGGGACCAATGAGGGCCTCACACCAGCAGGGCAGCGGGTTCAGCACCTTTCTCAATGACTGCAAATACTGGGGGGGTTCAGGCTGTTCCACCCACCCCGTGGCATCTGAAAGAGCCTTGAGAGCAAAGCTGCGTCAGAAGGGGGCACAGCTGCCAAAGCGGCCGCTCAGCCTCCTTGGATTGCTGGTTGGAGAATTCCTCCCCCTTTTATTTCATTCAGGCTTTTCTAGATCAGCATATGGCAAATGTGAGTATCAGAGAGAATGAACAGCCTGCCTCCTAGTTGGGAATGAGGGACTACCACAATTATCCCTGTGATAAAGAGGTAGTCTGAACATGAGGGAACTCAATACAACAGGAGATTTATCTTGAAAGAAGTCCCTTGGCAGCCTGGCCCTATTCTGTAAGCACGGTTTCCTATTGCACAAAGGGCAGGGATCAGACCGGGGATGACAGATCCACCTATATGTCAAGCACATCCTGCTCCAGAGCTTAGTTACCTACTGCTATTCCAGTGGCAATTCCTTGGATCACCCAGACACTCTCCTTCATTCAAATCATGTTGTCCCTTGGGAAACTTCACACACCTTAGATTTCTAAATGACCCAGAAAATTGCTTTCTTCTCTACCACAGACCAGGTCAACACTTTAAAACCTGACTCTCGAGGCTGCCAGGTTGAGGAGAGAGGCATGACAGGAGTCTGAGGTCTTGGTCCAGCACTCGTGGAGTCTCTTGTCACAAGGGATTACGTGGGATCTGCAAACAGATAAGGAAAACCAGAAAGAGCAAACGCAGGTCTGCACAACCTTGACACAGCAATCGATGCTGTAGTTCACCACAGGAGCAAGTAAATAGCCCTGGAGTTACGTGCTGCATAGCAAACATTGCAGTCTTATCTGGATGACAGGCAGCAATTTGTGGCAAAGGGTAAATCTCTCTGTTCACTCAAGCTTGACATATGGATGGTCATGTTACATTCCCTGTTCTCAGCGGGTTTGTGCATGAATTTAAGGTTAAGTACATGTGTGTCTTTAGGATCACGACCTTCATTCAATATTGCATGGCCCAGCAGACCCATAATTAATCCCCAGCATGTCCAAGTGACAGCTCTCACTCGGTAACGTCATCCATGCAGAACAGTGAGGCACATGTAAATTCATATATTCCGGCTGGGAGTCAGAGATTTTCCAGCCATCAGAGCAGCGAGGCTCCAAGGCAGATTTCTGACAGGATGAACAGGACAATTGGTGGCTTGGGCTGTTTTACAGGTGAATTGGGCACAGCAGGAGAGGGGGGGGTGATACCCTGAGGAGGGTGGGCTGGGAATGACAACACCTCAACACTACCGTTCCCTGTTACGTGACCAACATTTTCTATTCACAAAAATTTAAGAGTTTCAGAAGCTGATGAAGCCTGGGGAGAAAACCTCCACCATCTTCCTCCAGGGAAGTTTGCAAATGTGAAATTTGACCAGACTCAGCTCTGCTACTTGCTCTTCTTTCTCCTCCAAGTCACTGTTTTTCAAATGTACCCAAAGGTCTGAAGTCTAACAATAAGCCATAAGCAGGGTCTGGCAATCAGATCCATGTAGTCCAAGTGCCCCAGGCAAGTCCTCACACCCAGGTCATGTCCTGCCTGCTTCACTCAAGACAGCTGCTGCTAATGCCAGTGGTTTGTTTCCAAAGTCTGGTTATTTAAATTTTTTTTATCTAGTTGTTCTATTACCAAAGATAAACCTGCTCAGTCAGGTTGGATCAACACGTTTTATCCCACAGGCAACACAACAGGCTGGGTAAGTTTTACAGAAATTTATTGGGGTTTAATGTTCATTCACCAACAGCACAAAATATCAAATCCCCGCTATTTAAGGGCTGGAAACACGTCAAACACAAACACAAACCATCATTGCTCAGAAATAGTTATGCTGTACATCAAACCTGAGTAACAGGAGCACAACCACTGATTTGTCCTTCCTGGGGAGAGAAAAGATGAGTGTCTTACAAAAAATACACAGAGACATTGCATTTAACCCTGTTTCTTTGAAAGATGCATGAACAAGAGTCAAAAGGCACAAGGAGTAAAATGCTGCTACTTTAACCCACCTTGCTGCAGCTCCAGAGAGTTCTTTCACTTCCATTGTGTCACAGTATGTTTGAGATACCCCCAAGACACCAAATTATACCTTGCACAGCCCTTCACAGCCCCCGGTCCTGCCATTAGAGCTCTGAAATAAGGGAAACTGCAGAGAAACGCTCAGAGCCTCGGGACCTCTGCTTCCGAAGCAGACCTGGACTTCCTCCGGCTGCTCAGGCTGCCCAGGACCGACTCCTCGCTGAAGGCCCCTTCGAAGGTGGACAGGATGGACTGGCGAAACTTCTCCTTGAAATCCGGCCCCACGAAGACATACAGGATGGGGTTGATGCAGCTGTTGAAGAAAGCAAGGCTGGAAACCAAGGGGATCCCTATGAAAAGGGCCAGTTTCATCTCATGGCTGGAAGAGTTTTTGGATATCTCCAGTAAGGAGAAGACGTGATAGGGGAAATAACAGAGGAAAAACGAGACTGTGACAGCAATGATGATTCTGTAGGGTTTTGCAGAGCTGGCCAACTGCCTTCTTTTCAGCCTGACAGCAACGACGCTGTAGCAGATGAGAATCACCAGGAAAGGGATGAGGAACCCGCACAGGAAGCGCGTTACGATCATGGCTTTGTGCCGCACCCTCCACAGCCTCCGCGTTGCCTCGGACGAGTAGTCGTCGGACAGCGCGAAGTTGTTATAGCAGCTGGTGACGTTCCTGGAACTGACCACAGTGTCCCGAAAGACCAGGTACGGGGAGCTGAGGAGCAGAGCCAGGACCCACGTTCCCAGTGCGATCCTGGCCGCCAGCTCCGGGCTCCGGTGGTTGTGAGACCAGACGGGAAAGGCCACGGAAACGCAGCGGTCGATGCTGATGACGGTCAGGAGGAAGACGCTGGCAAACATGTTGAGGAAGGCGATAGTGCTGTTCAGCTTGCACAGCAGCTTCCCAAATGGCCAGTGGAAGCCCAGGGCAGTGTAGGCGATGCTGAGGGGCAGGAAAAAGGTGAAGATGAAGTCAGCAACGGCCAGGTTGAGGAACCAGACGGAGTTCACCGTCTTCTTCATCTTGAAGCCTGTGATCCAGATGACAAGGCCGTTCCCCGTCACCCCCAGCACACAGGCGATGCCGTACACCACCATGGACAGCATGTGCATGGTCTTCTGGAGCCCGGAGTAGTAGTCCTGGTCAGTGGCATTCTCAGGCAGCTCGGTGGGGCAGCTGGCAGGGAAGGGGGAAGGGGAAGAGGAGATGCTGTCCATTGCTCCAAGCCAAGACCTGAAATCACAACAGCACACAGTGCTGTTATCTGTGGCTCCTGCAGTGCAGGAGAGGTGGAAATCTTTGTGAGCAACCCTGCACAAAATGTGTGTGCAGAGCCAGGTTAGATAAATTAATATATCATTAATATAAAGTCCTTCTCTATAGCATCTGCAGCTGCATCTCACACAAACCACCACAACCAGAGAAACAACCCCGGTTTTGGTGTTGGTGCTCTCAGAGGAACACCTCCATCAACAGCCCACAGCAGCAATCCACATGGGATTGCTAAAATCCCACGGAAACCCAGATCCCCCTGCCTTGACAAGTTGTCTTTGGATGACCAGTGACAAATCAAGACAGCAAAACCCATCTAGACTGGCAACAATTATGTTAACAGACCATTTCTTCACCAAGTGCCCGCCAAGGAGGTGCACTCTGAGAGCACACCACCACCCGAGCTGTATCCAGGTGTAATCCTCAACCAACCAACACCCTCCCAGTGGGCTGCCCCATTCTCCTCACCCCTCCTGCTCACGCAGCTCAGCAGGTCCTGGCAGGACTCACCCTGGTGCTGTGTTCCTTGGCCACTCTGCCCACAGCGGGTGGTCTTGCCTCCTGGCTGACTCCCCTTCTGTTGCTCCTCTCCAGAGTGACTCACACTGCCTTCCCATGGCTTGGGATCACGAGGAATTTAGTAGGATCACTTATTCCCTAATCTTGTTCCTCAATTTGTGGTGTGTTGATTTAACTCCTGAATCCCCAGCAGCCACACATTCCCTCGAGCTGGTTGGCCAAGCCCATCCAACCAGCTTGGACTTGAAGAACGAAGGAAGCACGGCCCCTCTCCTGCCTGTGCCACTCATCCCCCAGGCAGCTCCCTCCCTCCTGAGCACCTGGATATCACTATGGGCACCGGGGCTGCCCTGCCACGGTGGGGGGACAGGGCCAGCTCTGCTACCCACGACAGTGGCCCCATGCCCAACCCCTGCCGTGGCCTGGCACACCGGATTGATCTCCAGGAGGGGGGCTTTGGGGGTGGCCGGAACTGCTCCCTGCCCGGTGTAGGGTGGGGGGAGCTCCCGACTTATGGGGGAAGCGAGAGGCATCCCTGGATCGCGGGACACCCCAGGGCTGAGGGAGAGGCACCTCAGGGTGCACGGCAGGCAGGGCTGGAGCTGTGGGACAGGAGGGGTGACAGGAGGGGTGACAGGAGAGGTGACAGGAGGGGTGACCCCCGCGCTCCCCGCCCGTCCCGTCCCCGTCCCTCCCAAAATCACCCGCGCCCCGGGGCGCACGTGTGGACCCCCGCTGGTCCCCGCCCCCGGCGCGGGCCAATCGGGCGCGGGGAGGGGGAGGAGCGCGGCGCTGATTGGCCCAGGCGCTTCCGGAGCCGCCGTGCCTGGCGGAGGGCGATGCTGATTGGCTCAGGCGCGGGGGGGCGGGGCTGGGCGGGCTATGGTAGCGAGCGCGCGGGCTCTAGTGCGGCAGGGATCGGGATCGGGACTGGGTTCGGGATAGGAACCGGGATCGGTGCGACGGCGGTAGGAGCCGTGTGGGGCACGGGAGGGAGGGCAAGGGTGAGAGCCGGGCAGGCAGCGCCGGTCTCCGGGTCAGGGCAAGGTGGGCGCGTCGCCGGGAGCCGCTCGGGGATGTGGGAGGAGATAGAGCCGGGATGCAGGAGGTGCAGAGCCAGGGGGGGATGGAGCTTCAGGGCTGGGGTTCACCCCTGCAGCAGCTGAGCTGCCAGGGCTGGACTGGGGTCCACCACGAGGTTGGGCATGGGGCTCTCATCCTGACTGGGGAATAGGAGGTCTGTGCCCCTCGAGCCTTCTATGGGTTTGCCAAAAGCAGGGGGTGCTGTAACATCCACTGGGGGGACAGGCAGGACCCAGCCATCCTGCTCGGGGCCAGAGCAGTGCACTCTGCCCTTCCATTCGCAGCCCTTTCCCCAGCAAAGCCCTTCTGGCAGTGGGGATTCCCACCCTGCCAGTGCAGCCCCGGGCTGGATCGCAGCCAAGCATCCCTGCCCAGTGAGAGCAGCACAGCAGGCCCACAGCGAATGGACTTCGGCAGCTTGGCACAAGGAAACCATGTGGAATTGCTTAATAACCTGCTCACGGCCCTTCGATGTCCTTGCGGGGTTAATGAGTAAAAAGATCCATTGTTTTCTGCCAAGGCAGCAGCTGGGCTGTTACTCCTCCCTGGGAGCAGCAGTGGCATCGACCAGGCCAGAGGGCTGCCAGGCCTGGGCATCATGTGGAGCCAAGCAGAGGCAGAGCTTGTGTGTTTCCCTCACCCAACAGCCCATGGCTGGTCCCTCTGGGTTCCCGGGGAAGATGTGGGATGGGAGCAGGCAGGACATGGGGACCAGCCCCACTGCCATCCCACAGATCCCACAGACTCCCCTCTCCACTGGCAGGTGATTCAGCCCCAGCAGGAACATGGCAAACTCAACACAGGGCCTCCCCACCGCTGAGCTCTGGGCCTCCCATAACAAGATGGTGATGGAGCCACTTGACACCAATGACCCGGAGGTGAGACCCCCTTCTGGAGCCTGCCCAGCCAGGGATGCTGGGGATGCTGAACTCCTTGGGCCAGGGACGTGCCAAGGTCCAAGGCTGAGCTGATGGAACCCATCCATCCTCTGTGCCCTGTCTATGGGATCAGCTGCACCAAGAAGGGATCTTGTCTCCCTTCAGCACCTTTCCAGGCCCCTCTCCATGCCCTGTCCCCTCCAAGGGTACAGACCTTATATCTCCATGAGAGCTGTCAGGGGTGAAGCTGTTTCTCCCCTCTCCCAAAGGTGCACAGCATCATCAAGAAGGAGAAGCAGCGGCAGAGGCTGGGGCTGGAGTTGATTGCGTCAGAGAACTTTGCGAGCCGAGCGGTCCTGGAGGCCCTGGGATCCTGCATGAACAACAAATACTCCGAGGGTTACCCGGGACAGAGGTACAGGGCTGGGCCGACTCCCACCAACCTAAACCCTGACAGGGAGGGGGAGGGACCACCCACCCTGCCAGGCCTCACCTCTGGGAAGGAGGTGATGTCTGTGTGCTGGCAGCCAAGCTCTTCCAGGGCAGGATCTGACCCTCTTGGCTTCTATCCTTGGCCGCACGTGGGACAGTCTCAGCAGGGTTAAGAGTGCTGTGGCTGCCACAAACAGGGCACCACCCCAGGTTCTCCCCATCTTGGTCACAGGGACTGTTCTGGGTAAGGAGTTTGGTTTTACTCCCTGCCCCATCCTTCACCACAGGTACTACGGTGGGACGGAGTTCGTGGATGAGCTGGAAAGTCTGTGCCAGAAGCGAGCCCTGGAGGCCTACCGGCTCGACCCCCAGAAGTGGGGTGTCAATGTCCAGCCCTACTCAGGTAACAGGGTGCTCAGCAGAGCCAGGACAGTTGCCCTGGTCTCTGTGTGCCCCAGCACTCACAGCCACGTGGTGGGCTCTCGCTGCAGGGTCACCCGCAAACTTTGCGGTGTACACGGCCCTGGTGGAGCCCCACGGCAGGATCATGGGGCTGGACCTGCCCGACGGAGGCCACCTCACCCATGGGTTCATGACAGACAAGAAGAAGATCTCTGCCACCTCTGTCTTCTTTGAGTCCATGCCCTACAAGGTACAGGGAGCTGCTCCAGCTGCAGCCAGGATGTGGCCATCATAAGTGTTGGTGCCCCTTAAAGTTAAATGTTCTGGCATGGGCTCCCGGCACTGCGTCCTGCAGGACAGCACTGCAGCTGGTCTTCACCACACCAAGGGGGCTGAACCCTCCTCTTCCTCTCCCAGGTCAACCCCAAGACTGGTTACATTGACTACGACGAGCTGGAGAAGAACGCCCGGCTCTTCCACCCCAAGCTGATCATAGCAGGTAAGGGCACACCTGTACCGACCTCCCTGCTGACACACCTGGCTGGGGGTGGCTCCCAGAATCCAGTAGCACTCCAGTAATCCCACGGATGCTGCAGCGCCAGGAGCAGACCTCCAACACATCCACCCTGTGTGCTGTCCCAGCTGCAGGGCTGGAGCCGGGGCTGTCCGATTCCTGGGGCATCTGCTCCTGCCTCCTCCTCATCCCATCCCCCCGCAGGTGTCAGCTGCTACTCCCGAAACCTGGACTACGCCCGCATGCGGAAGATTGCAGATGCCAACGGCGCCTACCTGATGGCCGACATGGCCCACATCAGCGGGCTGGTGGCCGCCGGCGTGGTGCCCTCGCCCTTCGACCACTGCGACGTCGTCTCCACCACCACCCACAAGACCCTGCGGGGCTGCAGGGCCGGCATGATCTTCTACCGCAAAGGTGCCCGGCCCGGCTGCGCTGCCGGGAGAAACGCTGCCCTCAGGCTGGGGGTGCAAGTTAACGCTCCTTCCCGCTCTAGGTGGGAAGGAGGGAGAGAAGAAAGATCCTGGGAACATCTGGGGAGCTTCCCTGGTCTGACCCTGGCTCAGATTTGAAGAGGAGCAGCCACCATACCCGCTCTGAGTGGCTGGGGGTGAAAGCAGCTCATGGGAGGGAGAAGGGTGGCCGTGCTGCCTGATGAGTGACCCTGCCTTCCTCTCCCACAGGCACCCGCAGCGTGGACCCCAAGACAGGCAAGGAGACACTCTACAACCTGGAGAGCCTCATCAACCAGGCGGTCTTCCCGGGGCTGCAGGGAGGCCCACACAACCACGCCATTGCAGGTATGCACACAGCTCCAGCATGGCAAAGGTGTCCTGGCAGGGCTCTGACCCCCGGCAACAGCCCGGACATACCACGGCAAAGGGCAGCCGGGTGATCTGTCATTGCCCGAGGAGTGACCAGGCTTGTCCGTCCTCCATTTTGGCTCCTGGCGATGTCACCAGCCTGGATATGGGGAAGGAAGGGACTGTCCATCAGTTTGCTCAGCTTCCGGGATGACTTGTGCTGGCATCCCCCAAAAGCTCACCCCAGCCTCCTCCCACCGCAGGGATCGCCGTGGCGCTGCGCCAGGCCATGACCCCCGAGTTCAAGGCTTACCAGCAGCAGGTGGTGGCCAATTGCAAGGCCCTCTCGTCGGCGCTGATGGAGATGGGCTACGACATTGTCACAGGTGAGGAGGGGTCTCGGCAGTGGGATGGGGTCCGAGCCAGGCCAGGAGGGCACAATGGGCAGAGCTCTGCAAGCATGATTCCTCAGGACATGGGACATGTTCTGAAGCAGCCCCAGGTCCCAAGGTCAGGCCCCCTTTAGCCCCCCACACTGGGGGCAGGCCCTGGTGCAATCCCAAGCCTCTTAGCTGATGTTTCCTGTGGGAGCAACATTTCCCTGATCCCACATCCCCACCAAACCCCTCTCCTTGCAGGGGGCTCTGACAACCACCTGATCCTCCTGGACCTGCGCAACAGAGGCACAGACGGCGGCCGGGCCGAGCGGGTGCTGGAGATCTGCTCCATCGCCTGCAACAAGAACACCTGCCCCGGTGAGGGATCCCACCAGCTCTGCCGTGTCCTGCCCCACATGCTGGGGATCTCCCGTGGCCTGTGCAGAGCTTCCCACAGAGCTCCCAGCTCTCAGTCCACCCCGGACGCTGGGAACCAGGCTGAAATGCCACAGGTGGTGGTTTCTGTGCCGGGTTTGGTCACGTGTGCCCTGTCCTGGTGCAGGTGATGTCAGTGCCCTGCGCCCCAGCGGGCTGCGGTTCGGGACACCCGCTCTCACCTCCCGCGGCTTCCGGCAGGACGATTTCCGCAAGGTGGCTCAGTACATCCACAGAGGTGAGCAGGGCTGGGATTCAGCTCCAGCAGCATCCTGGGCCAGGGCAGCTCCCCTGGATGAGGAGGCACTGGCTGGCAAGGGAGCACCCCCACAAGTGAGGAATAACCCTCCCACCTGCACATCTAGATGTGGGAGAGGACATGTGGCCACAGCTGGGACCGGCCAAACCCTTCCCTGTCCCTCACAGTCTTGTCCCAGTTGTCCTCAGGCATCCCACACTGGTTTCCCAGGGCAGCAAGTCCCTCACATGGGAGGGAGGGAGCAGGGCTGTGTCCTGGGGAGCAGCAGGGCTGGGAGAGCCGTGGGATGCAGCAGCTGTGAGGGCTGACCAAGGCACCTCCCACGCTGGCAGGGATCGAGCTGACGCTGCGCGTGCAGAAGGACATGAGCCCCAAGGCCACACTGAAGGAATTCAAGGAGAAACTGGAGGAGGACAAATACCGTGTGGAGCTGAAGGCACTGAAGGAAGAGGTGGAAGCCTTTGCAGCCACCTTCCCACTCCCAGGGCTGCCTGTCCTGTAAGGGGAGACACCTGTGCTCTGCTCCCGGAACCTCGGGAGGACCCGGGATCACGGCACACTCACACCTCAACACCCCAGTGCCTTCTCCCAGCACCTCCCTGCTGGAACTGCAGCAGCAGCTCATCCTTTGCCTCTTACTTCCCCCTCCCTCCCGTCTGGGGCACAGGGACCCCCTGAGCACAGCCCCTGTAGGGACATCAGCCCTTCACCACTCAGTGTCACCACTGGGACCGAGCACCAGGTCACCCTCACCTCACAGCCAGGTGCCACCCAGCTCCCACTGCCTGTGGGAGCAGCACATGAGGCCAGTCTGTCCACATTCCCTGGACACACTGCCCACAGCAGCCGGAGGGATGGAGGGTCCAGCTGCACAAGAGAACTCACAGCCACTAAAAGCCCCCCTGGTTTCAGCCTCAAGGATTCCCCTTCATCCTATGTGCCTTCCCACCTCTTCTGCAGGCTCTGACAAGGCCAGGCCTTGTCCCTAACATCCCTCCTGGGACTACCCTCCCATCCTAGCCAGAGCCTCTGGTATTTTTCTCAGGCCTCTGAGCACAAAGCTTAGGTTGAACCATTTTTTAATAAGCACGGTAAAATTAAGAATTTAACCACAATGTATGACAAGAATTATAAGCTTTAAAAAATACGACCGATTTTTTTTTTTTTTTTTGTATTTCAAAAATATCTGAACCCAAATAAATAATTTTTTTTTTTTTTAAAAGTACATTTCTCAGACTAGTCATTTGGTGTTATTAACATCTGTTAAAGTCTTGTGCAGTAACACTTGCAGCACGACACTAAGACATGCTTCTTGGATTTCTCCCGCTCACACTCGCTCTAACTACGGACGCAAGCATTCGGCACACACAGGCACACACACGGAACTCAACATGCAGGAATAGGATACAGTGCTTTAAAACAAGATGAGAATTCATCACAGCCTCCTGGCAGCCCTCAGAGGCAGCTCCGAGCCCAGCCCCATCCCCGTGCCAGCGGCGGTGCTGCCGGCAGGACTGGGTACCCTGTTTCTGCCTTCCAGTTAAATCCATGTCGGGGAGCAGCAGGCGGTGGGTTTGTGGCCCCTCCGCTATTGGGTGCGATCTGGGGCTCTGACATTGTGCTCTGGGGCAGGTGTTCTCCTGCAGCCTGGGCAGCTCCCTGAATTCCCATCACACCCTGTTACAGGAGCCTTCTCACAGCGCTGCTACGAGCCCGGGGCCTGCCCAGCTCCCAGGAATCTGCAGCGGAATCCGCAGTGTGGGGTGTCACCCCCCACCAGACCAGGGGACTCTGGGACCCCCCCACTCAATGAAAACCAAAGAACTGGCCTGAGGGCACAGAGCCATCAGCTCCCACCCCTGGAGTGCCTCTCCTACCCCTCCCAACACGGTGAATATTGCTAGAGTATAGGCAGCACCTCCCTGCCAAGGCAAGGCGGCTGTGGAGCTGCCCTGAAGGGATTGCTACTGGATGAAAGGAGATCTGAGCACTGTTCTCTGAGAAATGAAACCTGTGTAGGGTTAAGATCACCTACAGCTATGGCTGACCCTCCTCGGGTGGGAGCTGGAAGCGGCAGGTTAGTGGAGAGCAGAGCAGGGGCTGGCAGTCGGGAGGAGCAGGGAACAGGAGCCCTTCCTCCTGCCCCGGGGGGACTTTGCTCTGATGAATTCTCGGTCAGGTTTAACACCTCCTCTCCCTGGCAGCGAGGAGGGAGCCGGCCGTGCAGGAGGAGGGGACATGCTGGGCTGGCAGCACTCACGGAAGCAGGTGAGGGCCACGCCAGGGCACCCCTGGCTCTGGCAGCTGAAAGGCTGGTGAGGATGGCAGTGCCAGGAACCTGCCCTGCTCCTCGTGGAAGGATGGCTCGGGCAAGCCGACGACACATGTGCCAGGACTCGTGGCGGGGGCTGTCAGTGCAAAGGTGGTGACTTGTTGTAAGTCTGTGAATATCAGAAACGGGTGAGGTACCACAGCGAGATGGGGAAAAGTCCTAAAGTGCCGATACAGGGATCTGTACTGTACAGGAGCAGAAGGTCAGGCAGAGGAATCACTGAGGAAAGAGGAATTCAGCCCCCAAGCATCAGCTGCACTCAGAATCCCCCCCATTTCTGCCACCACAAGCAGTGAGGGCAGGCTGGGCTCTGGCTGCACCGAGGTGCCACAGCCAGGTGTAACTCCCACTTTTCCAGTCCAAGCTCAGAGGTTACGCCGCCAAGAGGAGGACAAGCACTCCAGGGCATGTTTCTCCACAGCTCCCAGTTGCAGATAACCACTGAGCTCCCATTTGGAATGGGATGATGTCCCAGCCAAGCCCCCGGGGCATCCTCCCAAATCAGAGCTGCTTTGTGGTGCAGGGGTGAAGCAGGTCAGACAGGTGGTAGTGCAAGTATTGCTCAACACAGCCTTGGAAATCAGATACTACAGGTTTGACAGAGGGAGCAATGAGAAGTGAGTTATTTATCAATTTGTGAGCACAGCTGAACACCAGAGGTCGAGACCACTGTGACTAAGAGATGAGCCACCACTAATCATCCTCCCGCTCTGCGCTGTCAGCCTGGAGGAAGATGGTGAGTGAGTCAACAGGAAAAAAGTTCCTCCCTCCTTCCCTCCTCAAACCCAAACAGCACCGGGTTGTTTTTCATCAGGAAACAAGCTCCTGTTCTGACCATAGCTCCAGAGCAGGACGCTGGGAGCTTTCATCTGCCTGGTGGCACCTGCATTACTCATTTGCTGAAATGCCTCTTCCCCCAGGGAGTTTGGGTGCACATGGATCAACACCTTGAGTCACTTCAGGAAGCAGACAATTTGATGGACACAGAGGCCTTTCACCAGCAGACCCAGTTCACATGCGACAGGAGGGCAAAGGTAGGACAGAAAAAGGCTTTAAACGTGCTTTAAAGGTGAGCAGACCCAAGAGAGACACACAGCTCACCTTAAGCAAAGGCCACACCACACTGCTTCCAATTCTGACCTTAAAATACCATCACAAACAACCTCTGGCCTGGGAAATCCCTTTGAAGAGTACCACAAGCTCAACTGGCTCAGCTGAGCCACCAGAAACAGCAATAACCTTAAAACCAGCCTTTTTGCACTGTTGGCCTATACCCCAGAGAGCCCTTTCCAGGGGAGAGGAAGAGGTGGCAGCAGGACTGTAGAGCTGGTTCCAGACAACAGCCTCCCCAGGGAGCCTCCCTGCCTTTGAGACACGGGTTTTGCAGCAGTGCAAGCCTCACAGCAAGTCTCAGCGAGGTCTAAGCCACGCTGGGGAACCCCAGGCTGTACACAGAAACTTCCCAGGCTCAGAAGGAAGATCACATTCACTTCCAGCGCTGCCTCACATCGTCACCAAACAGAGGTTTAAAAAAAAGCAACAAACCAAACAACGCATCGGCTCTTGTACAATCTCAGCTGTTCTCGCCCCAAAATCAGTGTTAAAAAGAAATAAAACCAAGATTATCTTTCCTAGCAAGGCTTTTCTGGCTCAGAAGGACCACGGGGGCTGTACTGCCACATGGCACTGGGCAGAGCAGCCTGGGCTCAGCATCTCCGATGAGACTCTGGAGGGAAGTGCTGCGCCCGGGCACAAAGCTTTCGGCACTGACAGGAACAATCTGCGAGTGTCACCACGCTGGTAGCACATCCTTTATGGCACAGAAGCTTTAAAAGGAGAAGTTCTCAGTATCCAGGCTCAGAGAGCAGTAGTTCTGCCCTGTCCAGAGCCATCCAGGAGCCCCAGGAGAGGTAGTTGTGACACGGCAACGGCTCAGCCAGGAGCGGCACGCAGCAACGCCAGCCTTGTTTTACCACAAAGCACAAACGTCAACTACCCAACAAACAAAAAAAAATAAACTATTACAGATACAACGTGGAATCCAGTACATTCATCCCTGATCTCTCCTGAGCACTAGTACCTCACCAGCCAGGCAGCCTGTGCTAACAGCCTGCTGTTTCACAGCGTAGCTCCAGCTGAATCGCATCACTTCCCCATCACAAAAAGCACCTAAAAATGAGGGCACTCACCCTCATTCAGTTCCCTTCTCTCCTTTAAAAGCCACCCCTGACATCACATGCTTTGAGGAATCCCAGTCTCCCTCCAGCCTTCTCAGAGGTCGCCCAGCAAATAGGACGTGACAAATGAACAAGGCACAGTGCTCTACATTCACGGCAGCCGGCGCCTCGGGGCCCAGCGTTAGGGAGTGCTTCCACCTTCCTGATTTTAACACAGCTGGGGGAAACTGGCAAACACTTCCTGGAAAGATGCACATGTGCCTTCACTGTGCTCCCACCCACCCAGGAACAACCTGTCCTGGGAAGTGCCAGGAAACTCAGAAAATGCAGGAAGGGACACCGTCCGCACGGCTGCGCACAGACCTGCAAGCTGCCACTCTGACAGGGAGCTCCGAGCTACACTCACATGACACACCACTGGATTAAAAACTTCACATGGCCTTGACATCTCCCTTCTGGTCTCTGCCCTGGCTCCACGGAAGGGACTGGCAGGGCTCAGGGCTCTGGCAGCAGCGTGCGGAGCACTGTGTTATTTCGGGGGCTGCACACTAGTAAGTGTTGATCCCCGAGACAGCCCACCTCTCTCCACGCCACAATCCCCCCGAGATGCTGCCAGGATCCTCTTTAAAAGCTAACAGTGCCCCTTCTAATGTTTACAGAGTGCCCGATGGTTTATGTGATGGAACACGTACGCTCTTGGCCACAGGGAACACCCAGGAATCGGCTCCCGCAGACACGGATTTCTGCGGAGCAGAGACACAAACCCCTCGGCCCCTTCCCGGCGCGTGAGAGCTACTGCAGACAGCGGCAATGTCAAGCACGGATGAGCTCTGTCAGACTCCGAGCACGCAGGCACACGGCCTGGGCAAGGCTAGATTTTGTACAAAAAGCTGGGGACATAGTCAAATCTGAGCAGGGGGCTCCCCCCTCGCCCCGGTTCCTGAATGTAGTGCAGCTTCAGCAGCTCGGCCAAATACTGCACGATTTTGACATCTTCGTTGGCGAGGCCCAGCTGAAGCTTCAGGAAGTTCATCCTGCGGTTCACGACGGATTCCTCCGGTTCCCTTTCGCTGATGGGAAGGTGCAAATGATGGCAGAAGGTGAAGAGGAAGGCTTTAGAGCACAGCTGGGTGAGGATGCTTTGGACGTGCATGTAGTAGGTGCTGCCCCGCTTGATCTGGGTGCGGTGGTCGGCCAGCCGGGCCACCACGGTGCCCTTGTAGAGGGGGCAGCGCAGAGTCTTGCTGTCGGCGTCCAGGATGCTCAGGTAGCGGCTGTACCGGCTCAGGGCGTGCAGAACGTTCACCCCCGCGGGGGACACTGTCCTGGAACAGCAAGGAGAGAGGTCACGGCTGGAGGGAGTTGTGTCCGTGCCCTGCATCCCATGAGCTTTCCCTCTCGTTCATGAGCTGGTGTGAGAGCCTCTGTGGGAGGATGAAGTCTAGCGTGGAAGAGAGGGGACAAACAGCCTCTCCAGCCTGCCAGATCCCAAACAAACCTCAATTCCCTGGCCCCCACATGCCCTGATCTGCACTATGTGTGTGCTACTGCATAAACCACCCCACTTAGGGTCAGCTTCCTTCCTCAGCAACACAGACAGGGAGTGATAGGACATCTCTGGTGAATAGACACAAACCCTGCAGCAGCTGGAAGCTTCTGGATGTGACAACAGGGACTCAGAA